ATAGGCGAGAAATTCTATTCGGCGAAGGTTGTGTGGGACAGAATCTCGAATGCGTGATGGATTGAGATCTTGAAAATATTGGGAGAAAATCCGATAAAATTTTCCTAAATTGGATCAGTGTTTATTTACTTTCTGTCAGTCAAGGTGTCCCATCTAACCTCAGCTAACATGTTTAGAACCTCTCAAGGCTCCAGTACAGACCGGGCCGCTGATATTTGTGCAGCCTCTTTGAGACAGTATTGGCCAGATAGACCACACTATATAATTTTAGCACTTTTCAATTATTGGAAGAACCAGAGTAATTTACAATGTTTCCACGGGGGACAGTTTTCTCTTTAAAAGATGGATACATTTCTTGCGGCCTGGGTAAGAGAGTTTTGCACGCCGGTAACCCCGATGAGAGAGACACTTACACCTCGTTCTTGACCCGTTATTTCCTGATTCCAGCGGTTGAATCACCTTAAAACCTACATTGTCCGCAGGTTCGCGTAGTGGTGGAGGGAGATAGAAAATACAGGCAGTCACTTACATACATGCAGCGGCGGCCTATCAGCCGGGGTCTTTGCCACCACATATAAGTTGCTTGTTTCCTAAGTAGTTAACATCTATACCAGGGTCTCGAGTTATGGAATCGGTAAGGTCAGACTTCTACAGGGTACTCGACCTCTTGGTTTCCAGAGAAGGACAGAAGAAACAATTTCCTGTTTAGCTCGATAGCAATGTCCTGCAAGTTTTACCCTGCGGTGGGTGAGTTTTTTGAGACAGCCTCGGAAGACCCCACATATATTGTTTGAATAACACCTTGTGGTGTCGATGGTATGTTTGTGCCTTTCGGAATAACTTAATGTAAGTTCCATCAAATGTGTTTTGGAGTAAACATGTAAGTGGCCCTGTTTACGCATCGTTTGGTTATACGGTGGTACAAACGACTTGGACCTTCAATTTGTTAGGAATGATAGATCTCCAAACATTATCCTATTTGTTACTTGCTTCCTAGCCGGATTTTTTCTGGTTTCAAAATCCTTTTGGAGTTTTTTACGTTAGAGCCTAGATATTTGAAGTTGTCTACGCTTTGGATAAGGGCCCATATTGAAGGATCTGAGCTCTCGTGACACAGTGATATTTGTATGGAATTCGGTTTATTTTATTCATTACATTGAAGTCCAACCAAGGAAGCGGATTCCTCTAGTGATGATAACAAAGTCTCGGCTTTTCTTAATCGATTCGGTAACTATAGCAAGATCATCAGCAAAACCTAAATCAGGTAAGAGTTCTCCGTCGTGACTCAAGGGGGACAGTCACATACAAGATCACACCAAAGTGACAGAAGCAACTCCTAGTTTTTTCTCTTAGGCCACACCAAGTAAATTTTATGGATGACGTCCTTTGGAGACCCTAAATCTAATGCGAGAGGGCGAAAAAAAAACAAGAAGGGCCCTAAAAAAACAAGATGCCTAGATTAGAAATATACTAATAGACGACAAATGTTAGGACACAAATTGAATGAGGTGACACAGTGTAACAAGCAAGAAGTCTTTTATTCATCATCAAAACAGCAATAAATCAGGTGGAACAGTGGACAGTGAAGAATTTTCTGTTATTGACAGGATGGTCCTGTCAATAGACACTTTCTTCGTGTTACGGGTTTCACGTCAATCTGACGATTTGCGGCACTGTCGTGACTCTATGGTCATAGTTACAGGAAGCGGAATTTCTTGTTTTCTTTTCTAGGAACAGGCCAAAATCAATGCGCGCGCGGACGTTATATGAGCTTGAAAAGACGTCCGCTTGCCTCTCCAAGCCTTGTTACAGCCCTCAGACACGGCCGAATACAGCGGTTGGTTTAGCGCCAAAGGGCGATGTCCTTGGTGCTGAAATGGGCGGTCCCTAACATGTATTGTACATGTTACCTTCTGCAAGCTCCATTTTATAGAACTTTATTGCACGACAATTGCACATGGTACAATGTATGGCAAACTACATAAAGAGAGTAACAACAATAGAATAAGTGTGTTGAATAAGACCTAATGTCGAAAAAAACCTAACATATCTATATCATAATCATTCAAATAATAAGGGATATCACAAGTCTTTGATAAAGTATTACAATCGAGTGGGCTAATCACAAGTATATGACGCACGCTGTTAACGCTTTTATCCAAATTGCAATTAACAAACACTTGGATGAACCCTCTGTGTTTTTCTGTCACAACTGTCCGGCACAACTGTTGCTCCTTGACATGCCAACTGACACATAGGCCAGCAACTCTTTCTGCTGTTTCTGTACGAAAAGCAAATGAAGATATTCATCATGGAGTTACTAGCAGGTACGTGAAACTATTGCAGCAAAATTTGACCTAGAGAGCCTATAAAAAAGCATGCATATGCCCTTCTGTGCACCCAAAATGAAGCTCTGCACCTAATTTTTTTTTTACTGTGGGTACAACATTTTTTTGTGGTATTAATGTACGTAAGTGTACTACTAAAATGTTACACTGGTATACAGTAAAATGATATTCTTGAAATTTAAGTATCACAGGATCACATGTAAAATTTTCCAAAGAATGATTTGTGATTATATGGCAATTTTATGATGTATGCGTGCAGACCCAAACATGTTTCCCTTTCATTAGGCCTAGGAAAAATGTTGTGTTTCCTGTTTCCCAACCGACCCTTACAAAAACCGACCACTCTGGGCTTTTTTGGGTGGATCCCTGCAAAGGATATAAATGTTTTCAGCTGATCAAGGACATTACGTATATAATGTCCTTGAGCTGATTGATGCATTCTAGCTCCCTTAGTGATGAAACACTGCACGGTAATTAATGTTAATCGGTTTTCCAACGTTGATATTGAAAATATATATACGTCTTTTCATACAAGTTTTACTTTGTTGAATAAATTGTATAAGTTGGATCACTAGAGGTTGACAACGTCTAATAAAAAATATGATCCCTATATATCTACTCTATTGTTTTCAAGACTGAAACAAGAAACACATTTTTTTCTAGGCCCAACCCTACTCTATCCTGGGAAGGTGTTGTTTTTTTTAAGGAATTTGGTCTTTTTTTATGTCGGTATGTCTGCAGTAGCCTCTACCAGGCTTGGGGGCGCGGCTGGAAATAGTAGAAATTGGCCAAATGGACATATAACACGCCGAGGGAGTTTAGCCATCCAGTTTACAGTTTGCCGGCCCACAACTGTAAACTGGATGGCTAAACTCCCTCGGCGTGTTATCTCTCTATTTGGCCAATTTCTACTATTTCCAGCCGCGCCCTCCAGCCTGGTAGAGGCTATGTCTTTAGTTCCTGATAACGATATACACGATGCACGATGCCTTTCTTGCCTGTTGAGAAAATCGTGGCATATAGCAGGGGGTTTTCTAGTTTGTAAAACTCAAAGCATATATCACTACCAAATGGCCGCTGCTATTGAAGAAAAGAAAAAAAAATAAATTAAGTCGACAAGACAAATAATTACATTTTTGAGATGAGATGAGATGAAATGAGACTACCTTAGGCCTTAAGGGAAGAAGTAGGGTCATTGGGTGGGGATTCCTTCTTTTCTTCCTTTTTTTTTGTAGAATTTACCAATTTCTAGTGATCCAACTTGTACATGACATTTAAAAAAAAACTTGCATGGCGACAGTTATATTTTCAATGTTCTTGTTAGAAAACCGATTGTACAATGTTTCATCACTGGGGTGTCATGATCATAGAGCTAGAACCATTAAAAAGAATATGTCCCTTGCAGGGGTCCACACAAACAAAAGCTAGGTTTGGAAGTTTTTTCTAGAGTTGGTCTGTTTGTTTGTTTGTTTGTTGGCTTGGGATCTCCATTAGTATGACTCTCAAACTATTCTTCCTGTAGTGAAATATTACATAGTAGAATTTGGACCATCGTATACAGGGACATGTCCCTACCCCTTTTTGGTTTGTGGTTTCTTGAAAGTATACGTACGTGTGACTCTCCCAAACACAAGACCTCCATTTAACGTCCTATATCCGAGGTAGGTCCCTAACCGATGCAAGGTACTTTTTTTTCACCTGAGTCAAGTGAGGAAAGTGAGTAAAGTGCATTTCCCATTAATAGCACAAGATCGGTGACAATGAAGGATACAAAACCAGAACTTCTTGGTTCTGAGCCAAACACGCTGCCACTACACCACACGACCCAGCGATGTCGGGAAACAGCCTTAAGTTTATCTCGATGTTGCTTTTTCCTTACCTACAGCATATATCGTAGCTGTACTGATAGTTCACCATGCTGGCTGTTCCCCCTGTAAGCCACATCTGGACCAGGTTTGCTCCTGTAAGCAGGGACAGCTGAACAGCCAGGAGACATGTACAGTTTGCGCATGCTCACACGACGGGAACTTCGGACAGTGCACAAGTGAGTTTGTTTCTCCACAAATCATTTTGTATGAATGGTTTTTAACCCTTCAATACCTTGTAATTAATTAGTACAGATAGATTTAGAACAGCTATTAGGCTACTAAATCCACTGGTACTGTAACTTGTTTATTGTTTGATGTATTTCTTTTCACTCACTTTTGTTAATATTGTTGGGTAGTGTTTTATTACATGAACGCGCGTACGCACACAGACACACACGTGCGCACACACACGCACGCACACACACACACACACAAACAAACAACACACACACAGACACACACACACACACACACACACATACGCACACACACAAGTACTTTTAGTACAGATCTAGTACAGAATCAGCCAGGGAAGTTTATTTATTTATTGATTCATTTCCACTCAAGTCATAACTAGACCTACAGTCAAACCTGCCACCTCTTCAAACTATCATTAACGCTTAAGCTTTTTTCTCGGTCTCTAAAATTTTCCCCATTTATGCAAGCATTCAGCAATTGCAAATTTTCCAAGGTGACCACCTGGCCAACGCAACCTGCCATGAGTTGGGTCCGCTGAAGGCCCGATACCTGCTCATGGTGACCACTGTGACATCTTTTTCAATCATGTTGACTCTTGATGATAACTAATGAGAGAAATCAACCATTTTGCCTCGACTGCTAGACGATATTTTTTTCGACGTTAATTGTTTCATGTGCCACCCTCCCCACATGCATTCACCGCAAAACTGAAGATGCTTACATCATTTAACATTAAAACATCTCGACGTGGAAACAATTGTTGTGAGGCAATTATTCTCAAGGATACTACCTGTCCAAGGTGACCACTTTACTTCGGTCCCCTGGGTGGTCACCTTGGACAGGTATCCTTGTAAAAAGCACTTAACAGAAGAACTTAATTGCACAACAGATGTAGCGGGTACAACGTATGGCAAAATATACATACATAGTTTGTGTAACATACATATGGTGGTGTTGAGAATATCTAACAGTTCTACTAACTGTAATAGGAATCTGGTCTGCTTTATAAACAATGTATAACAAAAGAGAGACACTAATTATACTAATCTAACTCTATTAATACAATGTAGTAATAAATTGTGTCAGGAATTAATTACGTTTTCTCGTTTTGTCATAGAATTGTGTATAAATTGGCCTACATAAGTGGAAATGTTGACAGGGCATAATAGTAACATATAGAATATCTCTGTCTTTGTATGGGGTAGTGTTATATTGGTCTTACATGTAATATGTTGTAACAATTTCCGTCGGTTTTCATCATAGGTTGGGCAATCTATTATAAAATGTAATTCATTTTTAACGCCTATACTTGTTACGCAGGTTCAATCACATCAATTATTTCTGAAAAGCTGATTTGTAAACTTAAGGAGAATTGCTTGAGAATCGCCTCAATGAGAAATTTAAGTACGGTAACATGATGTTTGGTCATGTATGTAAACCAACAGTGACAACATAGAAAATCTACCAGTACTGAACTGCCTGTAACACTCAGCCGAACATTATGAGTACAGATTTCACGCATCAGTAAGAGAATTTTATTTGCTTGACAAGCACCATGACGATAAATGTACTAAAAGGAAATACATGTGGGCATGGTGGCCTTGAAAAGGCGCACTTAGATGCACCTGTTCTACCATGCCCTCCATGTATATTATGTATGTGGTCAATCGTAATGAATAAATAAAACATGTATGATGCTCAGTCATATGCACATCGATATATCGTGCTTATTTACAGTGACTACCATTTCCATGGTGGTGTAAAAAGTAGTAAAATAATTCTTTACTCGATCACGCCATCTCGCCAGCCGCTTATAATTTTTTTCCGTCGTAATTTTCAGACAGTAACCTCTCTGTACAAATTGAAGAATGTTCACTGCCCTAGCTAGTATTTTACCTATTACCAGGACATCCGCCATACATTCTAGATACCCCTTTAGAAATGGAAATAACCTTTGTGTACAAATCCCCAAAAGTTATAGAACACAGAACGCCTTCCTCCACAGAGCCACCCTTTTATGGAACTCCCTCCCAGTCGACATACGATCAACCCCTACACTGTTTTCTTTTAAAGCTTAAGTATGGAATTCCCTTGGGATCCATATTCTGTTTAATATATTACATCTGTATCAATCCCAATTAGCATATTACCTCGGCAACCATGTATATACTAGGGCTCTTCCATTGTATTATAGTATTTAAAAATGTATGTATATATTATTGCACTATTGTATATAACTGTATATCTCACTAAGAATGTAATTTGAAGTATGCATTCCTACGTATGTCCTACACTTTTCATCTTTTCCCCCAGGTTGTCCCTTAGTTATAGTCTCTGACTAGTTGGGACACCCTGGCTTCTTTGTAAGCCGAAATAAATATTAAATAAATAAAAATCACACCAGCCGGCCTGGCGCTGTTCTCGTCCGCTAGCTGAAGACAACTGTTGGAAACATGTCGCTGTATTTGAGGGGGATATATGGAAAGTGTCTTTATATTTCCCAAGGGCACAACGTCGGGGCGCATGTTCGGACATGCCCCTGTAATCGAACCCAAGTCTCCTTGCTTGAGCGCCGAACGCTCTAACTACAACGCCACACGACGCCACATTATTAAACGTGATCATGTTTTTTCTCTGCTACAGCGTCGCAATGGTTGAACATCAGCACAACCTGGATAGTAGAAGAGAGTAGTGGTTCCTCTACTGTGGACTTTGCTGAGAACATGTTTGACGGCGACTCTGCTACAGTTTGGGAGCCTCTCGACAAGCCAGAGGGTTATGAACATTGGGTAATAGTTGATCTACAGACCAGCTTTAGGATTCGCAGAGTGACCATCGCTAATAATGGTGATGGTGTCCATGATGTTGTCAGCTTTGTCATGGAAAGGTAAAACTTATCCTGCTTCATGTCTCTCTACATCAGTATGTAGGAGTGTGTATGTGTGTTTATGAGTGTGTGTGCGTGTGTGTGTGCGTGTGTGTGTGTGTATGTATGTGCGCGCGCGTGTGTGTGTGTGTGTGTGTGTGTGTGTGAGTGTGTGTGTTTATGAGTGTGTGTGCGTGTGTGTGTGCGTGTGTGTGTGTGTATGTATGTGCGTGTGTGTGTGTGTGTGTGTGTGTGTGTGTGTGTGCGCGTGTGTGTGTGTGTGATGTGCGTGTGTATCTCTGTGTGTATCTAGTGTGAGTGTGAGTGTGGATGATCGAATGAATGAATGAATGAATGGATGGATGAATGAATGGATGGATGAATGAATGAATGAATGTTATGGTATGGGTGTGTGTGTGTTTGTGTATGCGCCAATCCGTATATGTTGAATAAGATGTATTTGTGTGTTTCTGCCATTTGCAATATAGCCACATGAAATGTAGCCGTATGTTCTATAAGTCCTGCTTGGTTTACACCTTTACTAATAGAGAACATTTTTACCTTCCTGTTCTAATCCTAATCTCTTCTAATCTGTTTTGAATTAGCAAACACAATCCATTTATCTACATACTGTTAAAATGTACATCAAGATTGATCTGGTACATTTGAGATTTTGTTCTCAGATTTCTGTGTCTATGTTCCAGCTCAACCAGCAGCCCCTATGTGTGGGAAACTGCCTACAGCTCGGCTGAGGTTCTATCTGGGATCCCCATGCCGCAGTACTCCTCACCTGATTTTGTTGGTCGCTACCTGAAGCTTAAAGTCAACACTCAGAGTGGAGTCAGACCTTCTCTTAGGGAAGTGTCTCTTTATGGGAAAGGTATGTCTATCATTTTGTGCCTTTGTTGACTTTTGAAATTGTTCAAAACTGGCATTGTCTTAATAACAAGAGACAATGCCTGTCAAGAAAATAGTTTATGCGCTTTTCAACTTTAAAAGATACAGAAACAAAATGTTCAACATGATTCAAAGTTAAGTGTTCAGTTGTGTGTTACTTATTTTGTATTTGACATGTTTGCCTGTAATCTTTTTAGCGTTAAATATATTTTTGAAGACGTCAATAAAAAGAGAGACTTACAAACATGACAAAGCAAATCTAACTGATAGAGAATCTCTTTTAGTGCACATTCTAATGCATATAAAGCATTCCTAATGTATTCTTTGTTGTAATGCATCATATTCTGTGTCTTACAGAGAATACCGGCGACCCTGAGTCATTACCATGTCCTGTCCTTAACACCGGCTGCATCATAAGCGACACGGCTGGAGAAACAGCGCCTCCTGGTGACCAGGACTGTTTTGTCACCGCCAACATTTACGAAGGACTACGAAGGTAAGTTTTGTTCATACTGAAATGTAAACTGTTCTCCAACTCAAGAAAAATGATTCTCCAGGAATAATTTTCAACCAAATCACTAGATCTTCAGCCAAAATTGGTATGCTCTGATGTACATGGCTTCCTTCAATCTTCTCGCTAAGCGATGAAATCCATTAACATTAGGGTATACCGACCTTCACTGAAGACCGAGTGATTCGGTCAACCGGGACGGGGGGTGGTACCGACTTCCGGCGAATTTTGACCAGTACTGATGTCACACGTGCGTAAAATTTAAGTGTCTACCCGAGTCAGAAAGCTGATAAAGACTGAGTGATTTGGTCGAAAATTCCTGCTGGGTCATTTTTCTTGAGTTGGAGAACTGTTTGATTTTAAGTCTGTATTTTACCAACTCAGATGAACTTTCATGCTAGGAGGTAAGTTTTTTCTCATTTACTCGTAAACGAGCAGGAAGATATTATTTCACTTCACTGAGGATGATAATTAGCTCTGATTTACCAAAATACACATCATGGATACCATAATGTACCTTTTACCGAAGGTTTTGCCCATTCTGTCCAAAGCAAATTGCAAATAAACATCACTTTGTCATGGAATGTTCTCAATATTCTTTACCCAATAAGACAATTTGAATATGTAGTATCTTCCGTAGGATAAATGGCATTCTAGATCTGTTCTTTCACGTGGTTCTTTTCTGGTTTTGATTTTTTTTTCTATTTCTAAATGCAGTGTTGTAGATCCACTGCAAGTACATCGTTCTGCAAATGTTCACTTGCACGGCGATCTCTTGGTTGACTGTTATGAGGACCATGAGGTAAGAACACACGTGCAAACAAACAAACAAACGAACAAACAAACACAAAGGGTAAACAGCCATCCTCAACTGAGGTGAAGCATATAGTGACATTTCAAGTAGCTTAAAACAGTCTTAAGTGACATTAAAGTCATGTATAGGTATTTGTAAAACTTTTAGAATGTAAAGCATAATCTTTTTTTGTAAATGTCAAAGTAATTCAGGGTCCAATAATGAATAAACCATTATTATTTCATAGCATAAAATCTTGTTATGTAAGAGTATCATTGGGACATTACACATGCAAAATAACCAGTATCTCTATCGCTTCTGTTTTAGATGTTTTTTTAGATTTAGCGTAAACACCTATTTGGGCTGATTAAGTTAGTCACAAGACACAGGAATAAAGTTTCATTAACTTCTTCGTTCATTCATTCATTCATCCATTCATTCATCCATTCAGTCATTCATTCATTCATTCATTCATTTACCCATTCATTCATTCATTCATTCATTCATTCATTCATTCATTCATTCATTCATTCATTCAATAATTGATGTCCCAGCTGGAGGTATTTTGGACGGTGAGAGAACACAACCAGGCAACTCCAGAAGAAGCGATGGACGAGATCCTGCCTCAAAGCACGACAAGAAACAACGTTCTTCTCTCCATAGCACCAAAAACTCTGCCTCTCGGAGTACACATGGTGCAGGTATGTATGGGTGCTGCTGATCCCAGACCTACAGTTGGGGTCACTGGAGGACAAACGAAGAATTTACAGGCTGTGCATGATGTACAAAATGACTAATGATTGGGTGGACGTACCAACTGCTAAGTATCTGACACGCGCCTAGAAAAGAACAAGAAACGGGTATGCCTTTAAATATCAACCGAGTTATCAACCAGGAATTGAAGTGTTCAAAAACTCGTATTTCCCAAGAACTATCGTGGACTAGAATTCGTTGCCACCAAGCACAGTTGGGGTATCATCACTAGAAAGCTTTAATCAACTCCTGCAATTAGATGTGCAAAGATTGAGTGTAACAGGTCGTTCGGTGTGATATAGCTAGCTGCCGCCGCGCCGAGTGCCTGCAAAGCTGGTGTGTTACGCCGAATGTCGGTTATACCGGCTTTACTGACACTGATACAGATCTCTAAAGGATTGGATATACATGTACAATAAAAGTTTTTAATTTAAATGTACATTCACCGAAAAGCGGGAAGAAGCTGAATTCACTTACTACTGCTAGCCTGACAGTTATAATGTATTCATAAAGTATTTAACCTGCACAAAACCCAGTGGGTATATAAATTCTGTGTGCAACAAAGACGGTTAGTGTCTGGTTTAGATAATTTGTTACAACCATCCTGTCCTTGGTGCTGATGAGTCCTTCTATCTTTGTTCTGTCTTTGCTCATTCTCTCTTTGTTTCTGTTGTATCTTGTTACAAATGCCCTGCCCTTGGTGCTACTTCTTTCTTTGTGTTCTATTTTGTTACAGCTACTGGTATCCTGTCCTTGGTTCCGACAAGCGCATTTTTACCCCCTCCGGGGGAGGAGACATCCTTCCGCGAAAGGGTTTTGTGAGACATTTAGATTTTCATGTTCGCAGCTGTTTTTCGCGTTTGGGTGGACGGATTCTTTTTAGACTAGGTATATGTTTTGCTATTGGGCTGCAAATGATGCACGTTCTTTTGTTTTTATTGTATATGTGTTTTCGGGCGTGAAAATGGTGTCTTTTGGTGGCCCCAAAACACCCCATTGAGTGTGAAAGTGGTCTCGACCGTTGACCTTTGACGTGTTTAAGATATAACCGGTCTGGTCCACGTATATGACCCCTCACATAGAGGGGTGTCCGTTTTGATAAATTCTTTGTTTAAAACCTATATGAAATATACAATAAAAAGCCCGGAGGTATAAAATCTCAGATTTTACTTGTTATATGCTGTAAGTTATAGTTTACAAATAGCACCCAGGAGTATTATCTGCTTACATTGTATCACCGTGTGCCTGTACTGAAGAAACATGCATCTGTAGTTTCAGGTTGCGATGAACGTGACAGGAAGAGGCCACGTGTCTGTGTCTGTTGTACAGACATGGGTGGAGTTTATCCGAGTGCCTGTCGTCTACAGTCTGGGCAGTTCTGTCAGGACTGTGCCAACTGATGGTGAGGACTCATCATTAGGCCATGTTGATTTGATTATATGGATGACATCCCCTGAGAACCCCAAAACTGATGCGAGCGTGCGAATAAAAAAAGTTTGGCAAAAAAAAAAGTTGCTGTCAGACATTATAAAATCTACGTGGTTTTGAAGGTTGAACAAATGACACAGAGTATGGTCTGGCAAATAATCTAGTCTTCAAATTCATTTCTTCACATTTTCGTCTTTTTTGTTTGATATTGGTATTCTACGACATTGGTATGGTTTTCCAATGTTTTCTTGTTCAATTATTTACGGCATATATTTGCTCATTTTGCAACTGTTTTGTACGATTTAGAGTATGGTTGAAAATTTGGCCGAAAATTTATGCGCGCGCGGATGTCATCCATATAATCAAATCAACATGGCCTTACCTTTGTCGAGAATTTGATTAATGGCATCCAGTGCAGATTTTGGGGCTTGGAAACCCAATTTTCAAAGTCAATGTTCTAGTTGTGTACCTAATAGTGAGTTCAAACCTCACTGTCCCAATGTATATTAAAACCTTGTGGAACAAAAAATTCCCAAAATTCTGACTGGAAATAGTTACTTTAATGGCCCTGGGCTGATTTTTAGGTTACCACCCATTAAAAAAAGACTTATCTTGGGACTTGTTTCTGTAGGTTCAAAAGCCTAAAGTATAAAATACTGACTGACATGTGCTATTGTGAAGCATTATGCGTCAATATAACAAAGGTTGCCTGTTTCCTATTGCAGATTTTTATGGTTTTGCTTGTAGGTCACTCATGGCATAATCAAATGACTTGCATGAAATTAGAACTGTCCAGGGGGAAGATGGATTGTGATATGTTGTATTTGCTTGCAAATATTGCCTCTACAGTTCCTTTATAATGCACTAGGCTATAGGACAACTAGACTTGAGGCTGTATCTTTCCCATAAATAGGGTTGTCTAATAATAGTTTTAGTTTTACAATATTATTATTACATGTGTGCACATCTGAAAATAGTTTCACCAGGTTTGGCCACAGCAAGTAAATTTTATGGATGACATCCTCAAAAGACTCCAATTCTAATGCGATAGGGCGAAACAATGCGAGCCAAAAAAACAAGATTCCTACATTTGCAAATTTTCACATTATAAATGTTATTAAACAAGATAAGATACCAATATTGTGTTACGTTTATTGCCAGCTATCACAACATTTATTTCTATCTCACTGAAACAACTTTTAAAAAATACAAGTTTTCAATCACTTTACACATTGTTTTGATTGAGTAGGAACATCACGTACACAGCCACCATCACATAATACAGGAATGTAATACATCACTGCATGAAAGTAAAAGACAAAACATTCAATCAGAGCCTTGTCTTGTCTTCGCTCTTCATATATATCTAACATTCACGTTCCGGCATGGTGACAGACATCTTTGCCCATTTTCGGCATATGTTAACCACTGTTAGAGGCCAATAAAATTTCTTGTTTTTTTTTCCAAATCAGGTGAAAATTAATGCGCGCGCTGGTGTCATCCATTAAAATTACTCGCTGTGGCCAAGGTAGAACATAGGATACGTTGATTAAAAATTTGCTATATCAAAATTCCTGTATCAAAAAAAAATTCCTTTATCAAACTATGCATACATTTTTGCCGCTTCCAGACCAAACACTAACTACCAGACTGGGGTGTTGGCGGGATGGTGCGTCCCGTGCCATTTCGATACTGGATGGTCCAGGCCCTATCCTGGGCGGAACTAATTACCGATTACGTACGGACGCCATCAGGAAGTGTGGAGACGTTGCGAACAGCCGGGGATACGAGGTGTTTGCAATCCAGGTACAACTACTTACTTGTACTTGTAAAAATCGTTTGCGAAATCTCGTTGGGAGAGACCTGCACGCCACCTTACAACCGCTTTCACACCGGCGCGATGTTGCAAGCCTGGCGTTACTATATCGATATTTCCACGGCAGATGCTCTGCTGAACTTCACTCCCTTGTACCCCCACTCAGAACATTCTCTGCAAGAACACGCTTAGCCACAACAGCATAAAATCACATTTTCGTCCTCAATAGTGCATCAGTCAAGAGAAAATTTCATGCTGACAGTTTCTTCCACAGAACCACTTCACTGTGGAACAAGCTTCCACCGCTAATTACAACCTCCAACGGTTTAAATCAAGGGAGAACAAATATCACTGTAACCCAAAACATGTAAGTGGCTCTCACGAGCCTTATTTTGAGGTGAATCTGAAGTAAATAAAAAAAAAAACTTGATTATAATTAGGTCTCTACAGCTTAGCGAGTGGCCTGCGTCAAAGTCACATCGTCCTGCACCATACTTGGCGGTCATGGTCGAGTCTCTCTAAGTTCTCTAGAGTCAGACTGGGTTGGCGCATGGCCATCCGGGCATCCTCTAGTACGCATGCCAGCCATTTTTTTTCGGTCTTCCTCTGGATCTTTCCCATTGTTGGGATTCAATCCCAGCAGAAACTTGGGCAGCCGTTCTTCAGGCATCCTTAGCACATGGCGTAACCATCTTAGTGTGTTGCTATGCGTGTTCCAATGTCTACTGCGTTTGCCTTTTGCAGCACACACTTGTTTGTAACATGTTAAAACCATTTAATGTGCAGAATCGTCCGTAGACATCGCGTACTCCAAGTACAAGCAATACATATTTATCTTGACTTCATACATATGTCACTTATTAATGTTCACTTTTGTTTGTCTCTTAAAAGGACGTTTTTAGTAGCCTTGGTACCAGGCCATGAATTGGCTGTCATCTTTACTGTGATGTCAATGGTAGAATATTATGGAAATGTTATAGAAACAAAAACAAACAAACAAACAAACAAGCAAGCAACAATTCAAAATGATGATACTGATTCAGATTCACAATGCATTGAAGCTAGGTGTTACTGGTTCACTGTGCACTGAAGCTAGGTGTTACTGGTTCACTGTGAACTGAATATAGGTGTTACTGGCTCATTGTGCGCTGATGCTAGGTGTTACTGGTTCACTGTGCACTGAAGCTAGGTGTTACTGGTTCACCGTGCACTAAAGCTTGGTGCTACTGGTTCACTGTGCACTGAAGCTAGGTTTTACTGGTTCTCTGTGTACTGAAACTAGTAGGCGTTACTGGTGCAATGTGCACTGAAGCTTGGTGTCACTGGTTAACTGTTTCGTTGTGAACCAGTAGTACCTAGCTTATTTTCTATATATGTTTGGCTTCATACTTTTAGTTCTATTTCGTTCCGTTTTTTTCCAAAGTTTTTTACTTCTGTTTATCCTGTATGTAGAATGGCGGACAATGCGCCTCGTCGGCTGATGCGAGGCAAACGTACAACAGGTACGGTCCGTCTACCGGCTGTCTACCTGACGGCGAGGGAGGGCCCTGGGCAAATGAGGTCTACTTGTTAACACGTGAGTTTGATTTGATTAAATTTATTGAAATTTCAACAGTACATTACACGTGGGACACAGGCAGCTGTTGGTAGAGTTGTGCCCCACACAACTACAGGACAGGCAGCACTCATTTTCACTTAAGCGGGAAAAGTCGTGTAAAGTGCCTTTTTCTAAGGGCACAAGATCGGTGGCATGTCAGGCAGGACTCGAACCCATGACCTCTTGGATCCGAGTCGAGAACTCAGAGTATGTCTTACGTAATCGGGATTTAAGATACTCTACTGGTGCGTCACAGCTTTAAGTGGTTATTGACATCCGCCAAAAAGGAGTTACTCAAGCAACTGGATATAATTTTGAAAATCATAAGAGTAACTGTTTTTTGGCGTATCGTATTACCTGGATGTCTAACCTCCATCGACGTTATTGACATCGTTAGGCCACACCAATTTAATTTGTTGGTTCTTAAACCTTTCAGAAAGAAATATAAGCGAAACAGGGAAAAAGCAAGCCTAATCATTCTACATGCATGATAGCCCCAAAACTATAATTTCGGAGTTGATTCAAAGCCTGATTTTTTTGCCAATCAGGCAAACAATTAAGAGGGCAAATCAAAGAACCAATTATTGATTGATTTGATGCGGCTTTAGGTAGTATTGATTAGGAATACAAAGGTCTAGTTTGATATTGAAACCTGTATATGACTGTCTCTTGTCACGTGATTATCCCATCAAGTCACGTGACAAGAGAACTCCAAGACGAGATCTCAATCGGGTTGAAGAAGAGACAGTGTAACGTCTCGAAAGCTCCCCAGCATAGCTGAACTTTGTTGTGTGTATTCGTATAAATATTTTGTCAATAGTTTGATATTGTTTGCGTATGTTTTCGCACTTATTTGAATACAATGGATACTGCAACTGAGATTGGAGATGGTATTACCACAGAGCGATATGAAGGTGAAATAAGTTCGAGGTATAGTGATTATCTAGCTATAGGCCTTGCACAGAGCAAATTTGTTTAGAGAGAGAATTTTCCTCCTGTTGTTTTTTCTTTTTGTTTGTTTATTTGACAAATCTCCATTAGTGAGTACATTAGTGAGTATAATACAGTCCTCCAGGAGTTATATATTGCTCTGTTGTTGGCATCCTTTTCGTCTCTTGTATTGCTCTGTATAAAACCTATAACTGTATCATAACATAACCAACATGACATATTAAACATTATTAACGAACAACTTTATTAATGAAAGGAAAATAAAAAAGGACTAGAAAGGTAACATGGGCTAAACAAATGCATAATGATTACCTTCCCATGTGGTCCTCTCTGTTAATCCTTACCCAAACACATTCATATACATGTATATGGTGACAGGAGTTCAAATCCCTCCTGCTATAACACTAGTCACCATGGTGAAAGACGTTTGGTTCAGGTGATTGGCGTTTTTTGTTTGGAGAAGAAGAAGAAGAGGGGGAGGAGGAAGAAGAAACAGAGCAAAAACAATATGTTTTCCTTCTGCAAAGGCAAACTTAAAAATGTCCATTTGATATTTAACTACAGGTGACAATATTGAGGTAAGAGGGGACTTGTCCTATGATCCAGAGGGCCTCCTGCCCACCGCTGGATTCACCTACAACTGGTCCTGCAGAGTGACACAGCTGCCTGGTAGGTTTAAAGCCCTCCCGCAATCATTAGCATGGTTACTTACTTACTACTTTATTTTATCCGGCTGCTTCTACCTCTATGGGGGCGTCGCAGGGAGGTGGAGAAGGCGGTTCTGGGCAAGTCGAGTGGCTTGCTGCAGTGTCAGGCCATGGGCGCTCAGGGTCTCTTAGCATGGTTTAGGCCTTTAATTTAATGTCATTTTTCTCATCGTTCCAGCGTTGTCACGAAGTGAGGTTGTACTGTTTTTAGGGAAGTATGTACGACAACAACTTGAAGTCAAGTTTATTTTTTTTTACGTTCTGATTTTTAGGTGCGATGTAACTGTAGATTAGCCAAGAAACTTGGGGGGGGGGGGTGAGGT